GTGAATGAACATCCACCCACTGAAAAAACATGAACTGTCCAGATGTGCAGCAGATCAATCTGGAGCTCTCCGAGACTGCCTTGACCAAGGCACCTCCTCATCGATCAGGGATCAGGTAGGTTTCTTCCAGTCCTTTTGGCTGTGTTTCAAAAGTTCCCAGGAGGAAACCCTCTCTGGCATAAACCGCAACACCTTGAAATTGCCGCTCTGTAACTTACGTTTGGCAGTTGAATGCTATCTTGAGAGTCTCATTTCTCCATGTTTCTCTTTGTCTTCCAAGTTTTACATCTTATTTTTGAAGCTCTTGAGCGCTGTTGGATATTTGATTTAAAAAGTGAGGGCCGACCAGGCAGTGGTAGCGCATGCCTTTAATCCCAGCACTTGGGAGGCAGAGGCAGGTGGATTTCTGAGTTCAAGGCCAGCCTTGTCTACAGAGTGAGTTCTAGGACAGCCAGGGCTACACAGAGAAATCCTGTTTCAAAAAAAAAAAACAAAAAAAAAAACAAAAAAAAACACCACACACACACACAAACCAAAAACCAACAACAACAAAAAAACAAAAACAAAACCCAAAAAAAACAAAAGAAAGTGAAGGCTTACATGTTGAGTCACAAAAGCATTTAGAAAACAACTTCTCAGGTAGGCCAGAGGCAGGCAGGAGAGGAATATCCCGGTGAGGAAACAGAGCCAAGCATCTCTTGCCCCTCCTATTGGTTTTCCTCGGCCCCGCCCACTTCCAAAGCTGCAGGCCAAGGCTCTCTCTTGTCTTCTCATTCTTTTGAGTCGCACAGGAGAGCAGCATTGCCCAGGTAAGAGGAAAGATGGTGGAGGGGATGAAGAAAGCTCTGAAGCTGTTCGTGTTTTTAGTACTTGTCAGGGTCAGGATCGGGCTGTGTCTAAATGTGAGGGGAGATACATTTGGTATGAAAAATGACTTTATGTACATTCAGTTCAGCAGAATCCAGAGAAAACTGGTTTTGATGAAAACTGATCAAGGTATTCAGTTTATAGTTATAACTGGTTGGCAACTAACCAAACCTACCTAATCTTCAAGGAAAAATACCAATATTTTGAGAAATGTACCAATAAGATGAAGGTAATTTTTAAAATAGACTTTTAAAGAGCAGTTTTAGGTTCATAACAAATTTGAACAGAAGGCATGTGGTTGTGTTTTGAGCACGCAATGCCTTATTCTCTAGTATTACTCTAGTGTTACTATTAGTCAGGTTGCCTCCTTCCCCCTGCCTGCAATAGCTTGTCCCCTCAGTTACTGACTTGTTCCCAGTCCTTTCTCTAGTGCCTTAGGGTGGATAAGAAATATGATTCCATTTAGCTTTTCTTCATCTTTCAATAGAATCACTTCTTATATAAGTCTATAAAAGGGAGGACATAAGGCCAAGATAATATATGTTTTGCGTAGTCAAAATTTTTCTTAGAAATTGCTTGACTGAGCTGTTATAAAACCTGAGATGCATGTACTTGTTGGGGTTTTGTTTATTTTATTTTCCCTCCAGTATTGAAATGGATACAGATATTTTTTTCAACTGACTACCAGGTGAAAGAGTAAGACTTGCATAAGGGAGCAGGTTCAAGGTCTTCCTGGACCACAGAGCAAGTTCAAGGCCAGCCTGGAAACCCTAACAAGGCCCTGTATCAAAAACAAAATAAGTAAATAATAAAGGTCTGGGAATACAGATGAGCGGCAGAGCACGTGCCTAGCATGCATGCAACACCCTAAGCTCAATCCACAGTACTGGAAAGCAAAACAAAACCTAGACTCAGATCCTCTGTGGCGAGACTAGGCCCAGCTATGTAATTTGTAGGGTTCAGCGCAAAATGAAAATACAGGAACCACATGTTCAGAAAGTATTAAGAAATGTCAAGACAACAGCAATGGGGCATTAAACCAAGCAGGGCCACTGCTGCTGCTGTCAGTGGTGATTGTGGTATTTAGTCTTCAAGAATAGGGCCTTTTGCAAATTCATAGGCAGCAGTCTCAAGGAACTTTGAGACACTTTGAAGTCAGATCAACCCAGGAAGAGGAGCTTCTTATCCCCAGCAGAGACAGAGAGAGGGCTGACTCACTGGCAGTGTTTCCTCATTCTTTGGGGCTTCTACCGCACCCCCAGTCCCACCCCCACAAGCTGTGAGTGTGATACAGCTGTATTGAGGTTCCTTTTAATTAACTCAAGATGCAACTCCATCAGGTGTTTGGATTTTCTGATTTTTTTTTCCTCCAAGAATTCATTGTAAGTTAGAACTCAGATTTCAGAGGTTCTGGACTTACTGTTTGTTCATGGCTTCCAGCTCCCAGCAGCATTAAAAACAAAAATCCAAACTCACAAAAATGGACCCACACCACCACCAAAAAGGGTGTGGGAACTAAAACTTTTCAGAGGTATAAAAAAGGAAGTATGTGAATTCATGGAAAAATTTTGACCTTGTCTTAGTTGGCGTTTTGTTTGTTTTGCCAATAATATCAGATAAAATGTGTAACTTCTAAAACAAAGTGTACTTTGAAGGAAAACAAAGCTATTACCACCAGTCTTCTCAATGGTTCAAAGCAGGTAATTCACAAATATTAGGTGCAAAGCTGGGTGTCATGCCGCCCGCTTATAAACACAGCACTCCAGAGGCCTGAGGAAGAAAGATCAGAAGCTTGTGGCCAGCCCAGGATACATAGTGAAGCCCTGTCTGAAATACAACTTCTAAATTAGATGCAATAATAAGATTTCTTCAAATAAAATCTTAATCTTATTAAAATGGTTTCCTTTTCAGATATTTGCCGTCCAAGAAAGTCATAAGCATTGCCTAAGCAGTGAGAACTTTGTTTTTATCTGTGTAATACAAAGCTTTCCGGGAGTGGAATAAGAGAACTGCCTTCTATTTAATAGCACAACCTAGGCAGAGAGCAGTGGGTCAGAAATTCTCCAATGGGCTTTGGAATAAAAGGTTATTTAAATGAAAGCAATAGGAGGCTTGTTTCCTGTATCTTCTGTCTTCCTGGCTTGGCTCTCTAAGGTTAGCCTCTACCCTATTCCATTCCACTTGCAGAATCTCACCAACTAGCTGCAAATGGAGTCATCTGCGTTAAGGGAAATGGCTCCTTTGTGTGTTCGAGAGTTACGTATTTAAGCTTTTAAAAAGAAGGGTCAAAATGAGTTAGTCACGAAGGGTGACAGGACAACTGTGCTGACTTGTGCGTACCTGCTCCTAGTTAATGACACAGCACAACACTTAGCAGGTTAATAGCAAGCTTTGCAAAGCACACATTGTTTTCATGTGTCATTGTTACATGGCTACCAGGAATGTAGAAATATTTTTGGCTAATCCTGTTGCTGTGGAGGGTTTGTAGGGCAGTTGGGTGGTGGTGGCAATTTGGCAAACTTTGAGGCTGGAGGCTTCTGACATCTGTTTATCCCAACAAGTGATACAAATAATGGTGGGTTTATGGGAAAGAGCCTGGGTGACAGCAGCACCTTCTCTTTAAATCTCTTCATCTGTAGCAGGTTGTATATCTTACCTTCTTTTTTTGGAATTATTTTACCATTGATATGTATGTCCCTCTTTGTGGGAGAGTATATATGTGCTTATAAGTGTGTGTGCATGTGTGTGTGTGTGTGTGTGTGTGTAGGAGTCCAGAAGACAGCATTGCATCCTTTAGAGCTAGAGTTACAAGTGTTTGTAAGCCATACAGTGTGGATGCTGAGATCCAGATCACCTGTGGTCCTCATGTTAGAGCAGCAAGGACTCTTAGCAGCCATGGTCCCGGCTTTAGGTTGTGTAATTTCTCCAGTGACAGATACAAATGGATACAAATCGCTAGGCAGGCTTGTTCAGAATAACTTGCCAACTAGCTTCAGTAGCTAACACTGAGCACCTAAGACTGCTTTAGCTCCATTCCTCTCCCACTGAACAAGATTTCTTGGGTAGACAAAGGACTGGGTTATAACCTCAAACTAGCCCACGTTATACAGTTGTATTTCTATCTTCCTTTAAACTATTGTCTGCTTTTGGTTTTCTTCTTTCTAGAATGATGGTGGACAATTTGCCTCCACAATCCGATATGACTTTAGTCCTAAACAGAAATATTTCAGCTTATATGAAACTCATTTACTTTTTTTGTATGAAGCTACCCACAAGTAATACCAATTTCCACCTGGCAAAATATTGGTTCTGTTTCTTTATGCCTAGACTGTTTCTTTATGCCCAGAAGCAAGCTCACAAGAAGTTATGCTTAGTAAGCCTGATCACACAAGAGCCCCTCCCAGCACTTATTTACATTAACCCTGGTTGAAACTTTTCCCCAAGATAAGCACTGCCAAAGAACCTTTAGAAGTAAAATGCTTTATCTTTGCGCACAGGCGAAGCCTTCAGAGAGCTTGGGTAGGTGTGGCTCCCAGAAGCCAATCACCCAATTAATTCAAGGGGCAAATCAGGACCCATGTTTACAAGAAAATGTTGACACCTGTGGATGACGCGGTTGGCGGCTGATGTGCGTGGGACAGCAGGCTTGGAATGTTGTTGGATTGCTTGGTCCCGTGTGTGTGGCCAGTGTGAAGGTTGGCATCTAGTGTTTTTGTATTGTTGCCGCGAGCAGACACCAGAAGTTTGTCCACTTGGTTGGAGTTCGTCCGTATGGTCCCCTCTGGTAAACTGAAAGAAACAGGATTGGGGGCGTCACCCGCTGTACTTAGGCCCCGCCCTTACAGGCCAAGCCCCGCCCCCGAACGCTTTAGGGCCTACAGCAGCTCAAGTGCTCAGGGCCGTAGGCTGCCCCAATTCCGTGTTCACTCCTCTCCCCGCCCCTGGCAGGTTGGACCGTACCACCGCTGAGCATGGGGGAACCTATCTTCGCGTGTCCGAATGGCTTTCAGTTCGAGCCTTCTTCAGCCTTCAGGATAGAAACCTGAGGAAAGCTACGGTTTCTGTACACAGACTCTGAAAGATTTTAGGGTTCTCTGCCCGAACCCTTTCCTGGATTCTGGCGCCGTGGCGCTTTAGTCCCCGTCCGGTTCCTTCCCGAATGGTATCGCCCAGGGAGTACTTCTGGTCCCTTTAAATATCGCGTGGGGCTGCCAGAGGGCTCCAGAGTTGACAGACTGCAGTCTCCCTGTGTCTGTGACGCTGGGTGAGGGGGGGAATACACAGAGCCCCGCGACCCCGGCCACCAAGCCTTCCTCGAGCCTCTGCGTGGGATCCGGGGGTGCGTACCCATCCCAGGAGAGGGGTCGTGGGATCTGAGGGGACCGCGTCTCCTCAGGGTAGCGGGAGGGCTCCTTGTGCCCTCCGCATTCGGGACATTTGACCTCCGAGTCAAGGCCTGAAGTAGGACATAGTGGCGGGGGTGGCCCAGGCTCTCCCGGGGCTGCTTGGCTCTGATGACATCCCTTTGGGTGCGTGCCAACGACTGTGCTCTCGGGCGCGAGACGCTCTGGGCTCCCCGCGCGGCTGGGTCCCCGATTCCTCGGCCCTGGAGGAGTGGGACTGAGCCCCGCGGTGGGGCCCGGCCGGGCCGCGGCCTGTGTTTGGGTCTTGTTGCCGGGTTTCTCGAGAGCTGGGTTCTGTCCCAGCAGTCCCCTCCCCCAAACGTTTGTTTTGACAGGAAACGTGGTGCTGCTAGAGGGAGGGGCGAGCAGAGAACGTGGGCGAGCGGGCGGGACTCCTGGGACTTCCGTTGGACTTGACTGTCCAGGAGGCCAGCTCAGGTCACATCTGGGTTAGACCCTGGCCTTCTCAAGGATGGCTTTATGCTCAGGGTGGCGCCACAAAACATAGCAACGAGATTCGGTGGCACGTGGATGACACAGTTATGTGTTTACGTTAGTAAGAAAGGAAAAACTTCCATTAAATGAGCAATTTCGCAATGTTTCCTTCTAAAATGTGTTTATTAGACTGGGAATGTAGTTTTGTGGTAGAGCACTTTACAGGACTGTAGTTCTGTCCGCCCCCAACCACAAGAAGCCCAAATCATGTGTTTAAACACAACAATCCAGTCAACAAAGAAACATTTGTTAAACTCCCATTACAAGCAGAGAGGTTACACTTGAGAGGTTCCAATGTGAAATACTCTCTTTCTTCGCTGTCTTGGTACCTCAATGGTACCAGGCAACTTGTCCTTGTCCCTAATGGGCTGCTTAGCACTAGGTGGTGTTCAGCTCTCAGCTCTTAGTCACCCTACCTTCTAACTGATAATTCCAACAAGTTCTTATACTGGTTCCTGTGCTGGGAGCCCCTACCCCACCTCCACCCCACCCTGTCTACCCTGCCTTTTTTCCTACCCTCATGGATTTCATACATTGCTCCACTTGAAGTGACCCAGGGCTGAAGGGCCCTGGAGGAGGAGTCTGCAGCACAGCTGTTAAATTAGGCAGCAGGGGTGAGGAGTGGGGAAAGGGGACAGTGCTTTCCAGGATAAAAAGTGCCTAGAAATCCCCCCCCCCCATGCTGTAGTGACAGACAGTGGCTGGACTGTTGGCTCTTGTCTAGCTCTCTGCTGGCAGTGACTTGATGAGGCCCAGTACTGTTCTTTCTGTGCTGTGGTTTTTGCTTTACTCTAGGCTGGTGCTAAAGCAGTTGTTTGACAGACAATGGAAATTGTCTAGCATCTGCAATTTTTTTTTCATCAGAGCTCAGTCTTGTCTTTGACGCCCCATGGGTGCCTTATGCCTGATTTTGGTGAAGGCTTGGAAGGAGGGTACCCACTAAATGCTTCTTGTCATCTCTTTTTCCCCTCATAACCTAGCCTTAACTTGGTGGACTCATTCCCCAGGGCCTTGTTGGATAACCTGAATAATTTACTGCTAAATGTTTTTGACTTGCTAGTTGTAAGCAGTTAGACCTTTTGGTAATACCTGGGTTTTAAGGAGGGATTTTGCAGAGCATAAGGAGTAGAGGACTTTGGTCACTATAATGGGGTGGCTGAATGCCATTTTGCTGAATGATCTCTTTCAGCGATGTCCTTCACGGTATAGTGCTTGAACAGCTGTCCCACATGTGCAAGTGTCCATGTGATGATAGACAGATCAATTTGGCAGAGGGGGATGGAAAGAAAGATTAGCAGCACACTGGTTCCCTCCAGCCATCCTAACTACCATGCATGGGCTTCAGGGCTCCAGCCTGCTGCCTGGCTTCGGAGATGAGCCTTGCACTTCTGTAAACCTTCGGGGTGAGTAATGCTGTCTCTCTCATCCCTGGTTCTTATTGTAAACAGGAATAACACCTACCCAACACAGTTATATTGCAGATTTGAGGAAATAAATGATCTAAAGCACTTACAGAGTGTATTACTGAGACCATGGTAAACGCTTTAACTGTTGGTTCTGATTGCTACTTTTTTGTGTCAGTACATGTCAGAAGAATACAGTGGTACAGTATTCTTTAAGCTCCTAGGACTTGAGGCTTTGCTAGCCTTGGAATTGTGTTGAGACAGGCACTGGAGACTGGAAAAGGGAATACTTTCTTACTATATGCATTTTAAAAGTTACTGGGAAGGCAGAGATAGACAGTTAAACTACTGTGCTAAGTGCCTGCTTAATGAGCAGTGGGACACAGGCAGAACAGATCAAAAAACTCTAGTTCTTTTCTGAGTAGAGGGGGGGGGCAATTTGTTAATATAAGGATATTTATTCTTGAGTTCCTGTCTGTCCTAGGCAGTGATCTGAACTCTGGGTGGCTAATTTACATAAGACAAATGGGGGCTTCAGGCAAGAGTACTTTGAAATTGTGATATTACATTCCAAATAGAAATGACAAGGTGGGATGGTTGGCATGGCTGCCAATCCCCCAAAAGTCTGCTGTGTGCAGAGCCTGAAAGGTGGTGGTTAGGATAAGAGCAAAAGGTGAACTTGTGGCCTCACACTCTTCCATAGCTGGCCTTGACTAGGTCTTGAGTATGGAGCCCTCATGACCTAAGCTTTTCACTGGGCCTCGACTCCCAATCTTGTCAAACTGGGGGTGAAGTTTCTGGGTCCTCTGCAGGAACAGCAAGTGTTTCTAATTGACAAGCCCTCTCTCTAGCCCTACAACATTACATCTAAGGTAGAATTTGAGCTTCCAAGGTCTTGGTATAAAGCTGTGCACTGTAGCCCAGCTAGTGCTTTCATAGACTGGACGCTTACACTGACAGCTCTCTTGTGGAGAAGTTGTATCCAGTGAGCTCTATCCCTGACTCCATAGTTCCACTGGGCATTGGGTCTTTGTAGTGACACTATGCCTTCTACAACTTTCTGTCTGGATTCCCAGGCCATTCAGTACATCCCTTGAAGTTAAGGTGACGGTCACCATGATCTCACGGATCTTTCATTCTGTGAGATTCTGCAGAATTAACACCATCTGGACATGGCCAACATTTATAGTTTGTATCTGTTGTTTGACAAGACTTTTTTGGGAAGACACAACACCCCAGAATAGGAAGGTCGTAACAGACCAAATGGTGGAGACCATCAAAGTCCAGCTTGGTAAGCCATGAGGGTTTTTTTTTTTTTATGCTACTTAAAAGCATATGGGTGAGGGGTTACTTACAGGAACAGAGATGACTCAAAGATAGCTGCATCACCAAAACCAACTCCAGCATGGATGACAGCTCACAAAACTGGAGGGTGCTGAACAACCTGCAGACAGCTTTGAACCCAGACTGTCCCATTCCAGGAAATCAGACCTCTAACCTAGAGGTGCATTTGGTTCAAGTTCTGTTTTTGAAAGAAAAAAAAAGTAAAAAAAAAAAAAAGATTCTATAGGCAGGAAGCTATAGGCTGCACATCTATTTTATGTCCACAGTAACAGGTGAGGACAGGGACCTTATCAACTATAGTCAAAAGCTGGTGAGTCTTTATAATCCTCAGTGCACGGTCATTTATAGAAAGAGTTTTCTGTAGAAAGGAAGTAAAGAAGTAAAGTCAAATATAAATTAAAGAATCACAAGAAATTAAAAGCTGATCTCCGTGTTCTCTGTGGTGAGACAGTTGACTGGCTCTTTTAGATCCCTGTATCCATTCCTTGTCGCTAAAATGTTAGCAGTACACTTCCATTATTCTCCCAGAATTTATTCAACAATAAATCTTTACCTGCTGAACTCCAGTTATTGCCCTGAGAAGGAATGGCATAATGCTGTATTTAGCAAAAGAATGGAATGATACATAAAAATAATACAGTTTCTTTAAATAATGACCCACTGTAGTAATATTGGAAGCTCTGCTTGGAGGTATCTTCTATCTTTACCTTTGACCAGTGAGCCCTCAGGTTGGATGAAATGTGGTGTTCCTGCAGAATTGCTTGATGTACCCATGTTGCTTTGGTGACCAGCTCGGCGATCTGCATTTGTCAGTATGAAAGGCATTGTGCTTCTTTAAAAGAACTGTGTTATCACACAGCAGTCTAAGAGTCTAATAGTTGAAACAGTCCAGTTACCCTCAATGCCATTTGAGTCAAGTTGATGTGTCCCCAGATGACTTGTGGAAATTCAAGACTAAGGAAAGTTGGTGAAGGTGCTTGCAGAAGACCATTTACACTGGGACAGGCCATTGGCTTTGGGGTTTCATATGTCAGACAAGTGTATGAGCTCTGTTCTAGGGCCACTGCTAGCATTCCTTGTTTTTCTGTAGGGAAACATGATTTTGTTATCTTCAGATATCAGCTGTTTTCCTGGTTTAATGCCCAAGGTGATTTGACAAAGGAAAGCACATAATCACCCATGTCCTGTTGTCTCTGTGTCAGACACTGTCCCAAGCAGTCCTTTCCTTCAGTGAGTGAAATCTCACTCCCTCACTCCAGCTCCACTAGTTAACCATTCTTGGTGTACCCATCAAAGAAATAGACAATTTCTTAACAAAATAGCAAGTGCCTTGCTTCAAAAACAAGCTTTTGCTTGCATGCAGCCAGTCCCGGTTGTGACATTGATGCCTTCCTAGCTGAAGAGCATCTAAGCAGCAAGACACTTTTCAGTTGTCTGTTACAGCCTCATGCCTCAGATCCCACCTCCAGTGACATGTTGACACAAAACTTAATCCTGCACAGTTAAACATGTTCACTGTGTGTGCATGCTTTCTCAAAATACCTTATGATGTCTCACAGAACCCTTGTCTGCCTTGGAGGAGCATCTTAGCAATTTCCGACAGAAAGAATGGGTAATTAAGCCACTTCCTGCCACCCACCCCTACAGAAAGCAGCTGTGCATGAAGTCCCAGAGTTAGCTGGTGACATACTAGGCCTCAAACTCTGAGCTCTAGCTTTTGACCTAGTACTTATTTTTTAAGCCCTTTGCACTTGGCTTCCTTTCTGTGTAATTAAGAAACCTACCAAATGTGCTAACTGGACTATAAAAAGAAATGCATGGTTACAACTGTTAACCTGCTTCATAAACGCCCAGAGATGAATGCTTTTACTCATTTTTACTTGGAAATGTCTGTTGGTGTGAGGCCGTCTGCAGTAGAGAAAGAACAGGAGCCAGCTCAGGAATGACTAGGCCTGGGGATTTGGAATTTAAATCAGATGAGCTGGGCATAGATGGTAGTGTCTCTGCTCTAGGGCTTGCACTTGGCAGCAGCAGGGTGTGAATATGTAGGGCTGTCAGTTTACAGATGTTCTAGTTGAAGCTGTACCAAATTGGATTCAATGACTGTGATTCAGCTGACACTGAGTGCTTGTTGTGAACTTGGTACTGAGCTACACAAGGCAGTGGCTGCCTTATTCAGGAGATACAGACATAGTCACTGGAAGAAAACAGCTATAAACACCTTCTTGTGGGTGTGAGCATACATGTCCATATTGGGGGATCTGCTTTATCAGGCCCTAGTTTCTTGACACAGGGTCTCCCAGTATACCTGGAGCTAGGTTGGAAGCCAGCAAGCCCCAGAAATCTTTCAGTCCCTCCCCAGTCATGGGATTGCAGGTATATGCAGCTGTGCCCAGGTTTTTAATGTTGACTCTGGGGACTTGAATTCCGGTCCTTATGCTGGGCACAGCAAATGTTCATCCTTGCTGAGCTGTGTCCTTAGTCTGGTGCAAGTCCTGTTGTGGAGATGGAAGAGATGAGAGATGTGCTACAGGCCTACTAGAGGAGTGAGCTGAGGGTGGAGGGTGGAGGATGGAGGGTGGAGGGAGGCTTCCTGGGGATGAAGCATTTTCAGGTCACACCAGCAATGGGAAGTGAGTTGGCTTTGAGATTGTAAGATAGTGTGAGTGCTTCCAAGTGGCAGGACCCCCATTCCTTGCCCTTCTGTCTGCAGAAGCAGTTAACAATTCTCTGCTTATTCAGGTTTTGTCCTGCACAAAGGTATATCTCTGTGAGTATAAGGACTGAAGACAGTTTTGGTTGAGACCATGTGGAAATGTCCTTGGACTGTTCCCGCCCCTGCCCTCAGGTTTACCCTACTTTCTCTTAGCACCCAAAAAATGCAGCTTTGCCCTTTATCTTACACCAATGTCTGGATCTCCCCCGTAGGTACCCTTTAATTCCGATCCTCCTTTTTTTTTTTCTTGTGCTTATCAGCAATACCTTGTTTCTGCTTCTTGAACCTTCTAGCATCTGGTGTACACGGTTTTAAGTAACCAGATTTGAGAATAGGGTCCTGTCTGTTTTGTGCAGCTACTTTTCCCCATGCCTGGTGCACAGTAGGGACTCTGAAAATATTAACAGATTCATTAAATTGTGGAGGCATTCCCAGTCATATGCATTGCTAAAGGTTTCTCTCTGTTCTGGCGTTTGTGAAAGTACCCTACAGCAGGGAGCTCTCTCATTCCTCAGTCTCCATCCAGGGTTGGACGTGTCTTCTCCTTTGAGCAAATTTGCCTTTTGCCCTCAGCTGATAGCTATGTTCATATCAAGGCTACTTTCCTCGAAGCCTGTCTGATCCTCTCAGGCTCAGGCCTGGCATTCATGTGCCATGATCTTTCTAGATTGTCCCAGGCATGACTCCTGCGCTGGGATGCTATGTAATGTCCCAGAGAAAGCACTTGACTTTAGAGTCCAGGGACCAGTGCCCCTCTGAGTATATATCAGAGCCCAATGGTCTTAGGTACTCAGCAAGTTGTGCTTTGTAAATACAAACCAAACAACAAGTCTTAGTCTTCATGTTTTGACAGTTCATATGAAAATGAGAGGCGGGACTTGGTGGCCCACAGTCTCATCAGCCTTTCCTTCCCCAGACAGACTCATAGACGCACCAAGAGTTTGAGTTTGAACGTCCTTACTTTTTTTTAAAGTTTCATTCTTTAGATGTGTCCTGTGTGTGTGTACAGATCTGTGCATGCCACCAGCACTTGGGGTAGGTCAGAGGACAGTGTCGGGAAATTGGTTATCTCCTTCTGTCATGGGGATAGCAGGACTGAATTCAGGTCACCGGCTTGGCAGCAAGTGCCCTACCCCTCAAGCTGTCTCACCAGCTGAGCTTATTTTATTTCAAACAAAGCAGTGTGAACAGTAACCACATTTGATGCTGTGATGAAGTTAATCCTCTTCAGTCTTTACGAAGTTGTGGAAGTTCAATCTTTGAGCCCAGTTACCCCATGGAGTCATGTGTGGTTAAGTGACTTCTCCAGAACAGAAAAGAGTCTGACTGAGGAGCCCACTAGAGCCTTGTCATAGCAACCCAGGAGAGCCTGCACCATGTGCATTTCAGAAGGGTCTGCCATCACCTAGAGCTGATCCACGTTTCCCTTGGATATGGCCTCAATGGCCCTTTTGTGGAAGGCAGTCTGGGTGATTTTGCAACAGTCTTGCCCAGGGTTCTGGGGGAAGGGTGAGGTAATCTGTTGGGAACATTTACCCCCTAGACTGTCACACCTGTGAGCATTATTACCCAAGATGGAGAAGCATGTTGGAAGCCGGTGAAAGTACCCCAGAATTGATTCAGGGTCTCTCTGTCTGTGCAGGTTCTCTATCTCTTTCCTCTCTCTGTCTCTCTCCTTTCTCTCTGTCTCTCTCCTCTCTCTGTCTCTCTCCTCTCTCTGTCTCTCCTCTCTCCCCGTCCATCCTTAAGGCGATAAAGGATGCCTTTCCACGGTGAGAAGCAGTGTGTGAGCGAGGACCTGCAGAGTGACTCCGAGTCTTCTCGGTTCTCCGAAAGCATGGCTTCCCTCAGTGACTATGAGTGTTCCAGGCAAAGCTTCACCAGTGATTCCTCCAGCAAATCCAGCTCTCCTGCCTGTAAGCAACGGGGGCAAGGTGGGGTTGGCCGGGTGTTGGCACTGTGTTCAGTGGCTTTGAAAACTCAGAAGCACTGTGAGCAAACCACACACTTCCCCATCCTTGCTAGGTGCACCAGAGTAGCATGTCAGAGGCACTGTGGTGGTCTTGGTGTGTTCTTAGGAATAAGTTTGTAACCTGCTCATTTTATTTTGAGCCTTGTCTCTAACATGTTTGGTTTGAGCATGGATCTAAAACCCTCTCCCCTAGCCCTTTCTGTCTTGTCTCCTAAATGGTGGAAACACCCCTTCTTGAGATTACCTTGTGCAGATTAGGATGTAGTCAAATTGGTCTTTCCTGTTTCACATGGAAGGAAATTTGCCTTGCCGGAAGGGTGGGCAGGACGTGTGATAATCTGAAGAGGGCATTTCAGCTGGTTTCAAACAGTGTTGTGCAAATCCCCCCAGAGGAGCCCACAGGGAGAATTACTCCACTGTGGGTTGGGAGAAAGCTAACAGAGTGGCTGGCACTAGGAGAGAAAGCCTTTTCTTTCATTTCTTTCCCTACTTATTTATTTATTGTCTGTGGACACAGATGTATCAAGCAGATGGTTTTCGTTTGTTTGGTTTTTAGTTTTTGGGGTTTTTTTTTGCCCTCCCTCTCCACAGGATTTCACTCTAGCCCAGGCTGGCTTTGAACCTGTGGCAGTTTCCTCCTCAGCCCCTTGAGGGCTGCAGTTGTAGATATGAACCACTATACCAGGTTGTGCCATTTGAGTTTATCTTTTAAGTTTTGAATCAGCATTTTGTCTTAAAAAGTACGTAACATCTTAAACTAGCAAAGCCAGGGTAGGAAAAGGCAACTGATGTGCAGTAAGATCAGATGCTCACGTCAACAGTTTTCTTTATTTAAATGCTTGTGTTTCCATCTTTAAAGTTTGGAAAACCTGGAGTATAGGGGAAAGAAGCAATAGCCTGCAATATCACCCAAACATGCCAGCTGCTCATAACTTTGCCAAACCCGCATCCTTTGAATTGGATGCTTGCCCTTAGCATTGTAACCAAAACACTCCCGCTAGACTATTTCCTAAAGACTGTCCTTATGACCACCTTCCGCATCATGAAGTAAAGAGATCATTCATTTGCTTACTGATTTGTCATTGGACAGTTAGTTTTCATCTTGTTTTGCTCCTTTA